CTCTATAATGTGATTACAGTATCTGTAACTCCTGCATGCTTATTTTCTCTGATGTAATCTACTACTGGAGGATAAAAACAATTTTTTTTACTGTTTGCAACCCTAGCATTAGCATATCAGTTAATGATCAATAGATGTGTGTTTTCGGGATGAATAAATGGATTTCTCCAAGTATGTGTACCTTATGATAGATGCTTAACTTGTACTTTCAATGAGAAAAGTTATCTAGTCTCTAAAGAAAACATCAAGACTTAGGCAAAGATGATGGGTATTAAGGAGGGCACTTGTGTTGAACACTGGGTGTTACATGTAGGTGGCGAACACTAAATTCTATTCCTGAAACCAATATTACACTATACATTAACTAACTAGAATTTAAATTAAAAATTTGAAAAATAAGAGGAAAAAAAAAGACTTGTGCAAAGGAACTAGATACTGGATAGAACACATTACAGGTATGTCATTTGAAAAAAAAAACATTTTCAGAAAGGAATTACACAAAACCAATGACATTTCTAACATTACTAAAAATGTACATTTTCAAAATGAAATTAAAAAGATACTATCACTTACAAACACACCAAAGAAAATGAAATACTTAGGTATAAATTTAACAAAATGTGTACAGAATTTGTATGCTGAAAACTACAAAACACTGATGAAGAAATCAAAAAAAGCAATCCTAAATAAATGGAGAGATCTAATGAGTTCATAGATTGGGAGATTCTACACTGTAAAGATAACAATTTTCCTCAAAGTGATTTATAGGTTTAATGCAATTCCTATCGATATTCCAGCCCTTTTTTTTTTTTTTTTTGTAGACATAGACCATCTTATACTAAAACTTATTTTGAAAGGGACGGGCCCTACAATAGCTAGAACAATCTTGAAAAAGAAGGGTGCAGTAGGAGGAGTCACCCTACTTGATATTTAGTCCTACTAAATAGCTATACTAACCAAGACACAGAAGTACTGGCACAGGGCTAGACATACAGATCAAAGGTGTAGAAGAGAAACAAGAAAACAGGACCACACAAACATGCCTAACTGATTTGGAATAAATATCCAAAGACTAGTCCTTGGAGGAAGCATACCTTTTTCAACCAAAGGTGCCAGAGAAACTGGACATCTATCCCAAAAGCTAAGCTTGACCTAAATAAACTTTACACTTTACACAAACGTTAACTCAAAATGGATAACAAGCAAATGTAAAACAATAGAATTTCTGGCAGAAACATTAATTAAAAAAATAATAGAAAACCTTCAGGTAGAGAGGCAAAGAGTTCTTCACATCACAACTATGATCCATAAATGAAAAAACAATAAATTGAACATTAAAATTCAAAATTTTTGCTCTGTAAAAGATCCTGTTAAGAGGATGAAAAGATAAACTACAGATTGCCAGAAAATATTTGCAAACTACATTTCCAAAAAACGACTATTATCTAGAATATACAAAGAATTCTCAAAACTTAACAGTAAGAACACAAGTAATTCAATTAACGAATAGGCAAAAGACCTAACAGACATTTCACTGAAGAGGAGAGATAGCAAATCAGCACTTGAAAATGTGTTAAACATCATTAGCCATTAGAGAAACCACAATGAGATATCACGATACACTGATGGTTACAATAAAAAATAACGACAATACCAAATACTGCAAGGATGTGGAAAAACTGGATCACTCATATATTGCTGGTGGGGATGTAAAATGGTACTCTGGAAACTAGTTGGGCAGTTTCTGATATACCACACATGCAATGACCATCCAACCCAAATTCATTCTTGGGCATTTTTCAAAGAAAAATGACAATTTATGTTCACCAAAAAATGTACATGAATGTCCACAGAAGCTTTATTTTCAACAGACCCAAACTGGAAACAACCCAGAAGTCTTTCAATGACTGAATAAACACTGTGATAATGTTCCATGCCATGGAACAGTACTCAGCAATAAACAGGAACATATTATAGATACATGCAACAACCTGGATAGATTTCAAAGGGATTATGCTAAGTGAGCAATCCAATTCCAGAAGGTTATATAATACATGATTCTATTTAATAACATTTTTGAATTAAAAAATAGATATGGAGAAAAGATTACTGGTTGTCAAGGGATTGGGAATAATGGGGGAGACAGGTAGATGGGCCCCCGGGGGGGGGGGGTCCTTGAAGTGATGGCAATGTTCTGTAACTTGACTGTTTCAATGCCAAAACTCTGATTATGAGACTGTAACTATAGTTGTGTAAAATGTTACCAGTGACATAAGATAAGAGATTCATAGGATCTCTTTATGTATTTCTTGTAACTGAATATGAAACTGCAATTACTTCAAAAATACAAATTATAGTAAAAAAAATAGGGTGCTAAACAACTTAGTACACTTCCATTTTGGGGAGGCATGAAAATACTCACATGTGCACTGATTAGCTCTGCTCATGAAACTGCCAATAGTGCACAACCGAAAAGGGGGGTTAAAAATTGGGGGTCAAGAGTATAAGAAAACTTAAGTTTTTTTTTTAACAAAATAAGTTCATTCTAAAGGAAATGAAAGGAAATTGTTGTACAACTGTCCTTCATTTACTCTTTCATGTAAGATCAAAACAAAAATTTTGGAAGGAGAAAACTGAGGAAAAAGCCACAAAGCATGCAACAAAGAATTATGTGGCATTACTGTGTCCAGGATAGATACTAAGAGAAGGGAGTAGGAAAGCTCTTGCTTGTTATGCTGATGGTAACCTTAGGTGTTTCCATTATTTACACCATTTAACTGTACATATACAGGTGTAAATACAAATCAGCTGCACATGAAAAGCCTTGTTGTTAAACCTCTTTCACTGATAAATACTCGGAACACTTATCAGAAAGACTAAGATGTCTGAGTACAAGCTAACATTTTCAAACACCTACAATTCCTTGCAAGTGGATTATTTAAAAAACCAATGGTGACAGTTTTGCCGCCTGACAGATAACAATGTGCCAAAATGTCAGCCTTGGGCTCCCCTCACGCCAACACCAAGCAATACTATTTAAATTGTCGTTTATAAAGATTTTGAGTACTACTTTCCAAATTGAAGAGGGAGCCATATCAATGCTAGCTTCAAATCAATTGGAATATTTGAATTCCAATAACAAAAGTATCTTCTTTCTGCAGTTTATCACTTTCTCTAGAATACTGCTTGCACATACAAAACTTTAAGGTGTTTGCCTTTTAGTTTCACCTTCCATATGGCAAATGTCACTATTTGTGCAACTTTTCAGCCTTTCATTCATTACTTCAACTGTAAATTCAGGGACAGGTTAATGTAATTTCTCAGAGCACTGGGTCACATTATATATTTAAACACATCGAAGAAATGCAACTTCAGGGCTTTAAAAAGTCAGATTACTAATGTGAATGCATCATTATTTTCCCATCAACAATATATAATGAAATGAAGTGTTAGACTGTGGACATCCAGCTCAGTTCTAATCTCAGATAAATGAGGACACACATTTGCCTATCTTGAAGAATCACCTCTACATGCATGAACAATCGGAAATAATGATTTATTTTAAAAAAGAAACAGAGTGAAATTAAATCAAATCACTATTAGTTAAGTGAGCAAAGTCAGTCCACAAAGTACTCTTTAATGGCACTAGTATGGCAATAATTTACCAATGCCACTAGAAAATCTCTACTTCTAATAAGAGATATGTTTGACCATAAAAGGATTGGTAGACCCCAAGGGAAAGAACAAATGCCAAAGGAATGACGCATTTGTTCTTTTATAATCCACTCAACACTTTTCCCAAGTACAACTCCATTTGCATTCACTTATCTTTTCCAAAATGAACTTGAATCTATATGTTGTTAGGATCTAAAAAGACACATTTCTGTATAACTTTTATGTGGCCTTGACCCATTTTAATGTCCTAACACACCCGCGGCCATGACTCAGCATAAAGGTAATTCTTCTAAGAGTAAGTGGGGGTGGAGGCAGGCATGATCCTCAAACAGAGTAGTGACAGCTGCAGATTAGAGTTTCAGAAGTGAAAGTCGAATTTGGATTTGAAAAGGACACTACGTGATTCTGAGCCTTCCTCCAAATTGAGAATCTATTGCATTAGACGTGGCTTTGTTTCTCTTAGCAAACCAAAATGCAAAAAAAGACAAAGATTTAAACACACCCTCTATATGCCTGTACCCTGCCTTGCCAATGCTCTTATAATCTAATGACATCCACAGTCATTCATGCAGGGTGTGATTCACAATCCATGAAGGGCTAAATGCTTGAACTGAGATTTTTAACTACTAATGTGTTACATGGATACTGTTTCAATGCATTATCATTAAGCAAACTACGTATGTCTCTTCCATAAGGAGACAAAGACGTATGGATGTGCAATGAGTTTCTGTGTGGATAAAGGCACAGGCTTTGCTATTAACTTTCCTTTGGCCCTGAGGGACCCAGGACATTTTTGTATTGACCCAGCACTTTTAGTTAACAAAATGATCTGGAAGACAGCCTTATTATTCCCTAACATGGCAATGCTGCCTTTGTCTTGCAGTGCACATACACACATTTACCTAAATCATCTTTACAGATGTGTGTGAACCAGAGGTATCTGTGCTCTATTTGTCTGTGAAGGGCAATAACAAAATGTTACAACCCATTTAGCAATAAACTATGCATCCTTTCTGCAAGTCTTTGCTTACATTTTATGTGCAACATTTCACCTCGTCTATAAATTTTATTTCATAGTCTTTAGTAATTTCTGGCAACATAAGTAGATACCCAGATGGTATCTCTTTTCTCCATAAGCCAGAAATAATGTCTCAATATAAATTCCAATCCCATCTTTTTATGATTTAGGTTCTAAATTTGAGAAAGCAGCAACACACACAAATATTGAGACAAAACCTTTAGGTGAAAGGGATAGCAGCAAAACTTTAGTATAAGAAAGCAGCCTATGATTTATTGATTCAGCAATAATAGGATTAAAAGAATACCTGATGACACAGGCGTAAAGACCACTGTCCTGCAGTAGTGTTGGCCGGAACCAAATGGAGTCTTCTTCCTTGCTCATTCTACTTCCATCAAAGGCTATTGGCTCTTCAAAGTCTCCAGGGCCAGAGCTTTTGTACCACATCAAACTGAGTCCAGCACTTTGGGCCAGGGAGTAATTTGCTCTGATATAACCGTAAAAGAGGGCACATTTGATTCGAACAGGCTCTCCAACCAAAACTTGATATTTCTTGATATCGACAGACCAATCAGTGCATCCATCGGCTACAGTAAAAAGAGAGAGAAACAAAACAAAAACATTAGAGAAAAAAAGTGAAGCAATTAGTTCATTCACTCCCCGATTCATTCACCAAATATTGACTGGGCATCTCTACTGACCAGATTCTACTCTAGGCACAGAGGATGCAGCAATGGATACAACTCGGAAGGGCAGTGAAAAGTAATTTACCCAGCTAATAAGCAATATGTTCATCACTGTGCTTCTGGTATTTATTCTTAGTTTATATCAGTGCAATTGATTCTAAATCCATTTTTTTTTTTTTTGCCTGTTCTTTGAAACTGGATCTGGCCCTTTGAAATATTTCTCCTTTGCTAACTGGCACTACAGCTTTGTTAGTAGAGGGTTCTGGAGAGACAGTGTCAGAGGAAAGGGTTTTGCTCCTTGATTTCAGCGTGCTTCTGTGGCAGGTTCTTGAAGTGTGGGAGGCTTCCCCAGCACCTGGCTCCCACTTCTCTAGTATCCAGCTCCTGCAGTGCACAGTAGTCAGCAGGTTGGATATTGTTGAACAGAGCCTCAGCCAAGACACTGTCCCATGAACAGCTTTCCCAGGTACCTCAGAAGGTGAATCACTGACAAATTCCAGATGGCAAATTCTGCCATCATGGCACCTCAGTGATGTCTACCATTCAGTAAGCCATGTATTTTCCTAATAAGGTTTGGATCTCAGCTCTGAAGGTGGGAGGATGGAGGGCAGCTTTCCCTTGGATGTTCTCTCAGCCATAGGGGTAAAATGTCAGCAATCCCTCTAGTTTTTAGGGTTTTTCTTTTTTTTTTTCTTTTGCTATGGACTGAATGTTTATGCCCTAAAATTCACATGTTGAAGACTTAATCCCCAACGTGATCATATTTGGAGGTAGCGTCTTTGGGAGATAAGTATGTTTAGATGAGGTCATGAGGGCAGTGCCCTCATAAAGGGATCAGTGCTTTTATAAAGGACATCAGAGAGGTTCTTTCTCTCTCTCCATCTGGCTCTCCCTTCCTTCTTCCCTCCATTCCTTCCTCCATGGGATAGGGCTCACAGATAAGAGGCCATGTGGGCACACAGCAAGAGCGTGGCCAACTATAAGCCAGAAAGAGGGCCCTCAGCAGGAATCAAGTCAGCCAGCACCTTGGTCTTACACTTCTCAGCCTCCATAACTGTGAGAAATAGGCTATGGTAATTTAGTATGATAGACTGAGAAGACTAACACATCTTTCTTTCTTACTAGCCAGTCCTTCACTCCAGTGCCTTGTTACATTTAATACTTCCTTATATAAACTTTCCTTGTTAAATTTAGTGTGTGGTTTATCTCTTTGATTGGACACTCAATGACAAGATCATAAATAAACATTTTACAGGCAAATAAGGCAAAAAAGAAATGCAACAAAAGTAGGTCAAGTTCTGGTACTGGTTTCACAGCCAGACACAGAGGCAGACAGTCACTTTGCTCTGCTGGACACATCAAGGGAAGCGTAAAGTAGAAACCATGGTGAAAAATGTGGCTGATAGGGGTGGGGGCTTGTTGGGTTTTCTAGGTTTCCTGGGAGCACCACCATCCAAATGGTAACTTGACACCAGTTTTTCATCACACACACACAAAACAACAGGTCCCCACAGAACAGGTACATCCCCACTATCATCATCATAGAGAAATAGTGAATTTCTTGCTTAAAGAGTGCAGCTGTTGAATATTTAGTAAGTTAACCAATTTCACAGAACTCACCATATACAAATACTAAGCAAAATGGCAAAAAGCAAGAAAAGAGGGACCTCTAAGAGCAGTAACATCTGAATACTGCAAGAAGAATTTAACTTGCTACAGATTAAAGTGAGTGTAAACTGAAGGATCTGAGAATAGGATGAATAATGTAGGATTCAAGGGAAGGAAAATAAATCAAGATGAAAAGGACGGTGTACATTATTAGAGGAAAGAAGACACATCATCTATGGAGTTATCTACAGTTCTTTTCTTAAAAGAATATGTAACAACTAATGAGCACTTAGCTATGGTTGAGTTTACAAATTTTCATTTACCCTTCACAAAAATATCTATTAAGGCTTTTGAACTAACTGTTCTCTCTACAGAGAAGCTTTCTCACCAACTGCAAGGCTTCCTTCCTTCCTTCCTCCTCCAAATATCACCTCCTTTTAGAAGTCTTTCGTAATTACCGTCTGAAACATGAGCTTCCTACCCTGATCACTTATTCCAGGTTCTGCTCCAATATTTTTCATAGGCCTTAATACTATATTACATATGTACTATACATACGTAATGCAATACTATATTACATTACGTACCCGCTTTTTGTTTGCTTCAACTCCCTGGTAGAATGTAAGCCCATTGAGGTCAGGGACTTTGTCCTTTTAACTCATGTCCTTAGCCTCAGTGCCTGGAGCAATATCTGCTAACGAGCTCAACACACATTTACTGAATGAATGAATGAGTGGGTAAGTTAAAAACTAAATTTTACAACTGAAGACACTCAACACCAGCTAATAAATGTAAGTGCCGGAATTCCCACCCAGCTATGTCTGACCCTAGAATTCATTCTCCTTGCCATCATAATACTGTGTTTCCTAAGTAAGGTATCTTCAATTTCACAACGTTCTTTTATTTAATTTCAATTACCAAATTGTAGTCTAAGAGTGCTATCAAAGAGTTGTATTGGAGTAGTATTTAGTTAGAAGCTTGGTGGATATCGATGCCCAAGTTACCGCCATGATTCCTGTCAATGGCTGTAGTGGAGCTGGCACACCACGTTAATGGAATGACATAACTGTACACAAACAGAGATGTCAAGGCTATATGAATTATATGTGATATTTATCACCATTATTTTGTATATTTGTCCCACTGCACGAAACAAATACTAGGTGGGATTTTATTTTAAACAGTTATAATTCTGGGGATGAGCATGAAATTATCATGTTTAACCACTACATGAATTAGAATACAATGCTAGAATCATGTTATTGTAACTGAGGCCATCTGTCACAGAAGACACTGCTGCCAGTGAAAAAGGCTGAAACACCTTCAAGGTAGCAGTATAAACAGTGAGATAAAATTATTCAAATCCCCAAAGATTTGTAAGATAAAGCAAAAATGCTTAAAGGTAAAAACAAAAATATTTGGTCTAGAGAATGCTAAAAAGTTAGCAGCAAATTAAATCAAGAGAATGGAGGTAGAGTTGCATTGGGGATAGAGATTTTAACACTATCAGAATATGCTTACTCAGAAAACAGTTGAAAGAAAACCAAAAATATTATGGCAAATTAACATTATTCAGTACTTAACTATAAACCAGGAAAAGTTTCCAACAGTTGAGCATCAAAAGACAAGGAAAAGAAATGAAATAACAGCACCTTGGAATTCAGAGACACCTTATATTCATTATAATATGGAAAGAGATTGTAGGGTCTACGGCTTAGGAAGTTTTACTACCATTAAGCTAAATGTATGATCTTCAAAAATACAGTATAAAATTGCTAATATGTTTTAATACTTTTCGGGGGAGGATTGCAAATAATATGAAATAATTCAATATATTTTCAAATTATTTGGATAAACACATTTAAATAAATGATGGGCTTATGTCTTTTTTTCAATAATTAAAACATTTTATTAAATGACATAAGAGTTATATTTATTTTTTCTTCGTTAACATTTTGCCTCATTCACACACACTCACCCTGTCACTCTGTATTATAATTTTTTTCTTAGACCATGTGAAAGTAAGTTAGAGACATAATGACATTTCACCCCTAAATATTTCAGGATGCATCTCCTTATGAATACATTTTTCTTATACAGCCACAAAACATTTTTTTAAATCTTGTGTAGCAGGACATCTCAAATCTTAAAAGAAAAAGTGATAATTTAAAACCTAACTCTTCATGACCACAATTGCTACTGTTAGGTTCAGTTTTTCCTTACTTCAGCACACAAGCTCTGCTGGTTTGGAAACAATCATTCCAAAAGTATATTTCTAGACAATGTTAATTCCATTATATAAGTTAAAATTACTATTAAAATTATCATCAGGTAATTAGGTAGGCCAACAGTATGTAATCTGTTTTTTGTTTTTTCTGTCTTTCAGAATAAGACACCTTTCTATAAGACTTTCCCAGAAAGTTTACTATTAGTATTCTCATCCCTTGAAGAGAGGGTTCCATGGAAATACTCTAGTTCAATAACCCCTCTATAGTACATATTCCTTCACGGTCAATGGGACGTTACGAAGTCATAAAGTGGGAGCAGGAAGCACTATATTCATCCACTTTTGTTGCCACCCATAATGTTCTGGGAACTTACGTAAAGGCAGTGATGGAATTAAGATTCAGAACTAATTCCTTTACAAGGAGTTCATACTGATGTACCACTTCATGAACAAAGGCTACAAAGACTGGATAATATAAGTATATTCAAATGGGATAAGTATATTCAAATGGGATTAGGGAAAGTATTTTTAATTAAGTCACTATAACAAATATTTCCATGGTTACAAGCTTGAAGGCTGCATTCCCAAAAAAATGGAATATGAAAACAGAAGACTTTACTTATTAAAGGGCAAATTATATTCGTCTTCAAGTATCACTTGGATATGTACATTGGAATAATGACAAAATGATTAAGACATCTATAATAATGTAATAGATTCCCCAACCTGATCCCCTTTACTAAGCTGATGCACCTGTTCTCCAGCTACTTTGAGTGCTTCATGCTAACAGCTCACAGTTGTCTCCTTCTCTTGAAAATTACCCTGTATTGAGGAGGGCCACCTGTTGGGAAATTTACATCCCCTTGGGTGTGCCCAATGCCAAATGCCTGATGTGAGTATACAAAAGACTGCTCCTTTGCATCAAGTAGGGACAATCCTATAAGGAAGTTCATGCTCCAGAGCTCCTCTGTGTGTGTGGACCATGCCAAGACTACAGTTCACTGTGACCTGTCTCTTCAGCTCTTTCCCTTTTCCTATTCTGCTTCCCTCCCTCCCTTTTAGGATT